GGGGGGGAGTGCCTGGCCGGCCCAGTGGGTAGAGCGTGTGACTCTTGATCTCAGGGTCATGAGTTCAAGCCCCACGTTGGGCCTGGAGCCTACTTAAAAAAATAAAAATTGGTTTGAGCCTCCCTAAGTTGATGTATTCAGTCACTAACAGGTCACAAAACCATTTTAAAAATTCTGTTCTACACAAAGTACAGAGGCAGCTCTCCTTCCCCAACCTCAGATTCTGTTTTAAGTCTAGTGACTATGAAGCATAAGTGATAGTTTCAGAAGTCAAACAGTACGTACACAAAAGAGAAATTAGGGGGTTATTATGTATTTCAAAGTAGCTCCTTTTAAAAACAAGTAAGCCCCTGTAAAGCATTGAAAATGTGCTTCGAGAGAGATGCACGAGAGCCAGGCATTGGACTGCCGCAGCTGATGGCTTTCCCGGAGAGGGTGGATCTCAGGCAGAATTTGGAGGAAAGAAGGACCTGTGGTCCGACGGGAAGGAGTGAGGGGTGTCCCAGCTTGGGAGCCGGCAGCGCACGCCAGCCACACTGTGAGTTTGTGGCTCTGGACCTTGCACACACCCTTCCCTCTGCCTCGACCACACTTCTCCATCTAGCTCACAGATGCTCGCCCTTCGGATCTCAACGCAGCGACACTTCCGAGTCCTCCATGCCTACATCACATGGGCTCTGTTTAATTATGTTTCAGTAACCCGCACCCCCTGCCCCCTTCATAGAACTCGGAGCTGGCTGCAGTTTTAGATTTATACGTGGGATTACTTAACTAACCTTTCCTCTCCCTGACTGAAAGCTATCGTGAGGGCAAGGACCGGGACTCTTTACTCATCAACCCCCCCCCCCCACCCCCCCAGTGCCTGGTGCACGATTGGTAGTTGTTAAATGCTGGTATTTGCCGAATGAACTGTGGTAATTCGGTCAGAGTGCAGCCTGCTCGCTCGCCGCTAAGTGTCACAGGTAGAAGGAGAGCTGAGCTTTGGAAGGTATCAGACTTTTCCCCCTAAACCCCTTTCCGCAGAAGAAGAATTCTCCTGCTTGTGGCAGGAGTGTGGCTTTTGCTCTATGGACAGTTCTGCTGACCTCATCCGCCACGTCTACTTCCACTGCTACCACACCAAGCTGAAGCAGTGGGGGCTGCAGGCTCTGCAGAGCCAGGCCGACCTCAGCCCCTGCATCCTGGACTTCCAGAGCCGCAACATCATCCCTGACATCCCTGACCACTTCCTGTGTCTGTGGGAGCACTGTGAGGTCAGCGGGCAGTGCTGGGCGTAGGGGTGGAAGGAAGTTGGGGATCTTTGCTCAAGATGCCTTGACCCTCTCAGGGATGCCCTGCGTCTGCCAAGGTTCCTGCTACTATGTCATTTCATTTCCGGGTGGCCCCCATGCTCAAACTTTCTCAGGCCCACCAAGTTAGTTTGAGAGAGCGCCAAGAAACCCCCTTTGGGCACGTCGGTGTAAAAGTCCCTCTAGCCACCCTCGGTCCTAACCCCAAGTTGCCCCTGGCACAGAGTTCCTTCGACAACCCCGAGTGGTTCTATCGGCACGTGGAAGCACACAGCCTGTGCTGTGAATACCAAGCGGTCGGCAAAGACAACCAGGTGGTGCTGTGTGGCTGGAAAGGTAGGGCCACTCCTTAACGTCTTGTCCTTAAAGAATCCCTGGGGGTGGTAAGGGGTTGGGTTGGGGCGGCGGGGTATGGGACCAGTCCCCCAGGGTAAGGTCGGCTGCTGGCCGGAGACTTGATGTCAGAACTGCCTCTGGGCGTTTGAGCCTGACTGGGCTTTCCTTCCCAGGCTGTACCTGCACCTTCAAGGACTGCCGTAAGCTTCGAGAGCACCTCCGCAGCCACACCCAGGAGAAGGTGGTGGCCTGCCCCACCTGCGGGGGCATGTTTGCCAACAACACCAAGTTCTTAGATCACATCCGTCGCCAGACCGCGTTGGATCGTAAGCAATCAGAGAAGAAGGGGAGTGGGTGCAGGCCGTCCTTGCGGTGGGGGTAAGGGGCATGTTCCCGGGAGAGGGGGCCACCGAAGGCATCTGCAGCCTGGCTACATCTGCCTCTAGGACTCAGTCACCTGCCACAGTGTGACAGGAGAGTCATTAGGTGCTCTTACTGTTCAGTGCTTACTGTGTGCCGCATCTCTTCCCAGTGAATCCTCGCAACCCCATGAGGTATGCTGCTCCTCCCCCTTTCTGCAGGTGAAGAAACCGAGGGCCAGGTTAACTCACTTACCTGAGGTGGCACAGCTAGTTAGGGGTCAAGCAGGGATTCTCATTCAGGTCCTCGACTGCAAGCGCCATGCTCTTTCCATGGTCTGTGTCCATCCCTGGTTCCTGAGCTCCCCCTTTCTTGGGTGGTTCTCCTCTCCCGGGCTTGCTCTCCTGTCTGTGCCTCTCCGCCATCCTCCGCAGCCCAGGCTCTCTTCTGCCTGCCCCACTGTAGAGCAACGCTTCCAGTGCTCTCACTGTTCCAAGAGATTTGCCACGGAGCGGCTGTTGCGGGACCATATGCGTAACCATGGTGAGCGGCCGGCACCCCCAACCTCCTTGCCCACCCTCCAGGTATCCGCTAGGCCCCCGATCACAGCCTCCTCTCTGCTCCTCTCAGTGAATCACTATAAGTGTCCTCTGTGTGATATGACCTGCCCGCTGCCATCGTCCCTCCGAAACCACATGCGCTTTCGCCACAGCGAGGACCGGCCTTTTAAGTGTGACTGTTGTGAATACAGGTAAGGGGAACCAGGGGCCAGAAATGGGAGAACCCGAGGTCCAGGGTCCCCCGTGCCCTCCCACCGCTCCTGACCTCTCCTGGCAGCTGCAAGAATCTGATTGACCTGCGGAAGCACCTGGACACCCATAGCAAGGAGCCAGCCTACAGGTGTGACTTCGAGAGCTGCGGCTTCAGCGCGCGATCCCTCTGCTCTATCAAGTCCCACTACCGAAAAGTGCACGAGGTGAGTTGGGCGGTCGGTGGGAGAGGGCAAGTGCAGGTGTGGGGGAGCCCAGGATGCAGAGCTGGCCTCACTCTCCCTCCCCTCCCCATCAGGGAGACTCAGAGCCGAGATACAAATGTCACGTGTGTGACAAATGCTTCACGAGGGGCAACAACCTCACCGTGCACCTTCGAGAGAAGCACCAGTTCAAGTGGCCCTCAGGACACCCCCGTTTTCGGTATGTCTCTGAACCCTGCCCCGTAGGTTCGCAGACCTTCCCCCCCCCCCCCCCCCCCCCCCCCCCCCCCCGATAACCTTTTCAACAAGTTAACCTTGAATTTGAGGATAATTGGATGTCCACCATCTCCGTTGAGGTTCGGGGAACCCTGAGAATCAGTGGTGGAGCAAAGATGAGTTTTGTGACCTTTGAATGGAAGGCACAGTGCCAAAGCCCTACAGCCAGAACCGGAGCCTAAGGGCCCTCATCCGTAGCCCCAAGGCCATCTCCTGAATCCTGTGACACTCCCACCCTCCAACACAGATCATTTCTTTTTCCCCCCTCTGCACCCCCTCCCTCCCTCCCTCCCTCTCAAGTTTCTACATCAAATTTTCCATTTCGAGTAATGCTCCCTCCCTCTTGTCATTTCTTCTGCATATTCCAGTAAAGACCCCTCTTGGTCTCCAACTCCTGTCACTTAACATCCCAGGGCTTCTCCCATCCCTCGTGTTTGTCCCGTAGCTTGCCGGTCTCTGGACATTTCTGCGTCCCCCCCGCGCGTGTTTGCTGCCCCCCATGCTCCCGCTTCCCCAGGTACAAGGAGCATGAAGATGGCTACATGCGGCTGCAGCTGGTTCGCTATGAGAGTGTGGAGCTGACACAGCAGCTGCTGCGGCAGCCGCAGGACGGATTGGACCCGGGAGCATCGCTGAGTGAGAGCAGCCTGCAGGGCATCATTCTCGAAGCAGTGCCAGGGGAGCCGGGACCCCAGGAAGAGGCCGAAGAGGAAGAGGAGGGTGGGAGCGGTGACGGCACGGCCCTCTCAGCCTCTCAGGACACTCCCAGCCCCGTCATCCATGTGGTGAACCAGACCAACGCCCAGGGCGAGCAAGAGGTTGTCTACTATGTGCTGTCCGAGGCCCCGGGAGAGCCCCCCCCAGCCCCCGAGCCCCCCTCAGGGAGCGTCATGGGAAAGCTTCAGGGAATAGCTGAGGAGCCACAAGTCCAGATGGTGTGAGGGCTGCAGAGCCTGACCATTCCTACCCCAGACCCTGGCGTGTGAGCCAGGCTGGTGGCAGTGCCCCTAGTGGGCAGCCCCTGCCAACGGATGCCTTTAAGGGTGGTGCCGAGAGCTGTGTGGTGCACTCTGGACCCGGCTTGCGTCATTCAGCGGATCCAAAGGACTTCCTTTTCTGCCAGACGGCGCTTTGTGGGGACCTGAGAAGTTTGGGTTCCTTGAAGGGGATGCGCTGGTTGTGTGTGTCCTCGTAGAGGGGCTGGTATCAGGCTTACCCATAACCCCCTAGTCACTCTGAAACAGTGAGTAAAAGCCCCCGTCAACTCGCACCCATTCCCGTCCTTAGGTCCAGGGGTGACACATAACCGGTTCCTGCGAGGGCCTTTTCCTTACAACCAGCCAAGGCAGCATGAACCAGGCAGCCATCTCCCTCTAAAGGGCTCCTGCGATCGCAAGGACTTTCATGGTTACCCTCAGGGATGGGATTGGAGGCACTGAGTGTGTGTGTAACGGTTGTTTTGGTAATAAAAGAAACACGGGCTCTTACTCATGTCTTCCTTATGCTTGGTGGCTCTCAACCAGATAGGAGATGCAGCTGCCCAGAAGAGGAGTTGACTCATTAGGCTTGTTCTCCTTTTAGTGACTGGGGTTTGTTTTTGTTTGTATCTTTACTCTTGCTCCCCCCCCTCCCCCCTTGGTGAAACTTCTCCATTTCTTCTCAGAGCACCTGCTGTCTCCATGGAGGTCTCAGGCGTAGGCTGTGAGCGGGCAGTAGGAACACTCCCTCTAGAATGCACGATCGGCTGGGAGACAGGAAGGTAGGGCACCTGGCCACGGCCATGCCGTCTGAGTCCTGGTTAGAATCCAGTGTCTCTGGGGCAGGGTCTCTACCTGTGGGGCTGAGGAGGAAGCTGGGACGGGTGGTGGATTTGGAGGCCCTAGGGAATGGCAGGTGCTGTAGGTTTAAAGACCAGGTTAGAAAATTGTGTCTGAATGTACAGTTTCCTGGGGAAAGGGTCTGTTTTTCACTAGATTCTCAAAGAGGTTGAAACCCTCCAAAAAGAACCATTTCGCTTGGCCTGTCTAGCCACTTCTGGGCACCCTGTGTCCATTCTTGGGGTCGCTGCCACTCTTGAGGTCAAGGGAATACTCTCAGGGGTATTCGTGGGCAGAAAGCTGCCCACAAAAGATTTCTGCACCTTTTTGAGAGGACCGAACTTAACTCTTACCGCAAAAACAGCATGTGCCTGTTGCAGGAAGAATTTAGGAAAAGAACAAGCTTTTCGTTAATTCCAGCCGCCGTTTACTGAGTTCCTTCTATAGTCCGGGCGCTGTGGCAGGTGGTAAAGATACAGTAAATGATGAGTAAAACCCAGAGATGAGTGACACTCTCTGCCCTGAAGAGACTTGGAGTACAGAGACAAGACCAAAGTAAGTGGAGGGTTGGAAGCCTACCAGAGTTCACTGAGGAGGCTCAGAGGAGGAGGAGACCGCATTACGTGGGCGAGGGATCAGGAAAGGCTTCATCAAGGAAGTGATTAGAGCTACAAGGTACAAAGAGGTGGACACATTGTTCCAGGTAGAGGAAACCAGGTCTCTACACCTGAAGGAGGACTCCGTGGCCTGCAGCACAGGGCAGTACGCCACGGGGAGAGACGAGACCAGGAAGGAAGGCCGGGCCACCCAAAAGGATCCACGTGAGGTTTTAGGACGGTGATTCTGCCAGTGATGAGGAATACAGATTGGAACAGTGAGAAGTTAGGGGGCTGCTGGGAAGAATTCAGGCAAGAAACAGTGAGGGCTTTAAGGTTATGCCCGTGTGGATGTTCACGTTGCCTCTACGAGAGCACCTTCGAGGAAATGGCAGTGTGGAGAAGAGAGGAAATGTGAATGAAAAATGTGCTCAAGCAAGGCCATCTCATTCCCAGGCTCACTCCTCTAGGGTCTTGTTCTGATTTTGCCACCCACGCCCTGTCCTTCCCCTAAACAAGTATCCACTAACCCCAGCAGGCCTTCAGTTCGTTGAAGACAAGCGAGGCTTCTTTGGGCCTAAGTACCCTCAGTTTCTTCTATATCTTCTCACGTCACTTAATTTGGGGCCCCTTCCACCCCACCTCCTCTGGGCCTGTGTTTTTGGTGGTTACACATTGTGAAGCCACTGCCCTCTAGAACCCCTGTCTTTACATACTTTGTGCTGCCCAAACCATGCTCCTTCCAAGGTATGCACTTGTTACCTTGGTCTTAACAGCAGGCCCCCCTGTTTATCCTTATTAAATTTTGTCTTGTGAGATTGGCACCTGTCCCCAAGAGGTAGATTAAAAGGTTGAATAAAACAGGGCCAAAGACAAACCCCAAAGGCAAGTCCTTAGAGACCTTTCTCCTAACCATGACCAGATGAAGACTTTAAAGACTCCAAACCTTGAAAACACACGGTGGTGCCCCACTTTCCATATACGATTCAAATACAGTGGATCCTTGAACAATGCGGGGGGTGGGGGCGCCGACTCCCCCCACGTAATTGAAAATCCATGTGTAACTTTTGACTCCCCTAAAACTTAACTGGCGATAGCCTGCCGTTAGCCAGAAGCCTCATCAATAACGTAAGAAGTTGATTAACACGTTTTGTATATGTATTATATGCTGTGTATTCTTACAATAAAATAAGCTAACAAAAAAAATTTTTTTTTAACGTTTTTATTTATTTTCGAGACAGAGAGAGACAGAGCATGAGCAGGGGAGGGGCAGAGCGAGAGGGAGACACAGAATCCGAAGCGGGCTCCAGGCTCCGAGCTGTCAGCACGGAGCCCGACGCGGGCTCGAACCCACGGACCATGAGATCATGACCTGAGCCGAAGTCAGATGCTCAACCGACTGAGCCACCCAGGCACCCCCTTGCTGGTGCTCTAAGCAGTGGCTCAGGCTGCCGCCTCCAGCATCCCTGATGCCGTCCTTTCCTCAGTTGAGCAGTGTCTTGAGGATCAAGCCAATCCCTTATGTAAAGTACCTCCCTTACCAGTCTTGACAGTTACACCCACACCAGATCTCATGCTCTGTACCATGGGGACAGCGGAAGAGGTTCTGGCTTGCTACTGCGTGAATCCAGTTCTTCGGGGGAAGGGGATTCTGGGCTCAGCATGCATAGGTTAGAAAGCACCGGAGCTAGCATGAGGGGTTATTGAATCGAAGCAACTAGAGCCCTATGGAAGGATATCAGAGGCTGGGGCTGGGTCAGCGCAGGACTTTGGAGGTAGGGCGATGACACTGCTAATTTGATTACCTTAGGGTTTCATCCAGAGTCAGCCCATACGTCAGACATCATGGTGTCTGAAGATTAAGGAGACAACCTACCTTACTGTCCCTTAAAGAGTGGGGGTACAAAGAGAAGGCAGGCGGCCCAGGAGTGTGGAAGCGAATGCTTCTTTTCTCTTACTTGGGGCAAGTCCACAGTCTTCAGAGAAGAGCACAGGAGAGCTGACTAAGGTATAGAAGAGAAATGTTTCCCCAAGATGAGGGGAGGGAGGAATGGTCATGGGGAATCAGGTCATTTCCGTAAGGTTACGACCTATCGAATATAGGTATAGTGAATGGTAGATGAATGGAGGAATTTTGCTCAAGGGCAGGAATCCCATGACGCACTTCGGGAATAAGGAGCACAGCCGTCCTGTTCAACAGCAGGAGTTGAGGCTGAGAGGCAAGGTTGGTGGATGCCGGCAACTCTTCACGCTTGATAGCTTGCATTTCTTGACCGGGCAAGGAATGGAGAGGACAAGTAGATAAATGACACTTGGGGAAGGAATGGAGACACCCCTTTTGAGCAAGGGAAGGAGGGATGAATGGGAGGGGTGAGAAAGCTTTCACATCTGTTGTCTGTATTTCCTTGAGGAAGTAGGAATTAAAGTTTTGAGGAGAGTGATAAGAATCGCCATTAAAGGATAAAAGAGTGAGATCAGCTGATGGTCGAAGGCCAAGATCAGGCACTGGCAAATTCACCACAACCAGGTACTTTTTTGTAGCAGATACCAGCACCCCTGGAGCAAAAGCAGAAGACAGACCGCTGGGTTGACCCACAGCCAGGACGTGGATGGCGTCGGGCCAAGGAACAGGGTAATTAGAGCAGCTGGAGAAGACTGGACAGGGAGCCCCTGAGAGACCAGAAGGTAGTGGTTAGGATCAAAGCACTGGAGGTTAGGATCAAAGCACCTGGCTGGCTCAGTCGATAAAGCATGCAACTCTTGATCTCAGGGTCATGAGTTCAAGCCCCATGTTGGGCATAGAGCTTACTTAAAAAAAAAAAAAGCCAAAAAACAAAGCATTAGAAGTTCCGATGAGGCTTCTGAAGATTAGAGGGCAGAGGGGAATGCTTGTGGTCAGAAAGGGGACATTTTTAAATGGAACTATTCAGAGTCCACAGTACATCTAAAAGAAGTAGGCTGCTGTGAGGCGCCTGGGTAGCTCAGTTGGTTGGGTGACCGACTTCGGCTCAGGTCATGATCTT